CTGGGGTACAGGCCAGAGGTGCAGGGGGGTGAGAGGATTCACCAGAGACAGAGTGGGGAGCAGAACAGGCAGATGGTCAAAGTACACTGCTGAGGGGAGCAGTGGGCAGGTCAGCAGAGGTCTGCCATGCCATGTGGTCACCTCCGGGACAAGCGGGGATCGAACTCATGCAGAAATGGCTTAGCTTCTCAGTACTGTGCCAACAGGGAGGGCCAGTTTTGTTACAAATTTTAAAAACAGAATTTTGTTTTTGACACCAAAACAATATACAGCAGTTAAAGTGAAGATTAGCAAAAAAATAAAAATACACTCAAATCTCTGCTGTTGACAGCATGTGGTAATACTTCTTAAAAAAATCTTTTTAATGTGATAAGAGAATTTGGTGCATTAAGAGTGTTTGAGGGGCTGAGAGTTGCATCGCCACATCTTCGTTGCCCCCCTCAGCCCTCAGCCTCGTGAACTGTACTCCCAGCCACGCTTCTGCCTCCCTCAGCCTCCTGGGCCTTGCTGGGTGTTGCTATTTGTGCTACAGTTGTTGCTCTCATCCCTTTGCAGACTCGCCGAGGAAAGAGGTGTACTTTATGGCAATTATTGACATTCTGACTCATTATGATGCAAAAAAGAAAGCTGCCCACGCTGCAAAAACTGTTAAACATGGCGTAAGTATTTCCGGCCCCTCGGGCTCGGAGCTACCTGCTCTCCAAGCTGCTCCACGTCCTGTAGAGGTTCTGGTTCCCTGCAGGGGTCATGGTCAGCCAGTAGACCCTCAGCCAGCAAATAATGCCACCCTCTCCCTGCTTCCCCATCTCTGGGCAAGATGCTCTAAACTTGACCTTGGTTCTTTTTACACACTGGGGATACAATAAGACATGTGCATCATTAGAATTTTTTATAATATCTTTGTGCTTCAAAGGTAAAAGCACTGAAGAGAGTTAAGTGTCATGTGAGGCATTATTCTCTGCTTCAGACACCTCTGCATTTTATTTCTTACACACAAAATTGGATGTTTTCCTTTTTTTTTTCCTATTGAGCCAACACTGGCTTACAATACTTCAGATTCAGAGATAAGGGCCACCTATAGTCCTGTTACAGTAGTCTTTTGAGTGCAAGATCAAAGTTTATTAATATGAATTCCTTACCTTTAGTGTGCTTGCTCAGAATTATCCCCATTCCACACATAATGACAGCTTGTTGAACCCCCACAGCAAACTCATGAACTATACTGGTGTACCCCTACTCATCAGTTGAAGAAAATAAAGGAAGAGAACTTGAGTGGTAACTAGCCAGGGTCACATCAGCACCTCAGTAGGCAGTGGAAGAGCTAGAGCCTCCAGGACTAGCCAGGACCCCCATTCTGTTCCAGTGCCCATGCCCCTGCACCACTAGTGAACCCCCTCCTGCCTGGTTAACTATAAATCATGAATACCCATTACGCTTAGACTGTTAGGATCCATTTTGACCTTCTAGGTATGTCCAGCACCCCACAGAGCCCATTCCAGACAGATGAAATATCTCAGCAGCTATATCCAGTGTTGCTGCCACGTGTAAGACATGGAGCAGGACCTCACAAGGTCCACTGAGCACATAAGAAAACCTGTGTCATTAGGAGAGGGTACACAGTGGTTCGCCCTGGCAGTTGGCATCCTGCTGAGTACTGTTCGTGAAACACGTGCATGCCAACACATCACGCCCTTGTGCCCATCCCCTGATTCACAGTCCATCCACATTCTGGGAGTGGACTCTAAAAGGCTCCGTAGTGATTTTGATGCCACGGGGAATTGGTCGAAGCCATGGGGATATTGCAAAGACAGGATGAATCTCCACCGTTCCCAGTTGTATGACCACGAGGAAACACTTTGGAGCTTTGGTTTCTCCAGTTGATCAAGCTGATGTGGGTCTAGGGGGGACACACGAGGTGAACAGGCTGAACACGAGGGAGATGCATGGTGTTTGTTCCCACCCCTCTTCAAACCTACTGTAAGATTATATGCCACGCAGAATTGTAAATGTACCATAGCAAAGATGGCTTCATTTAGTCTCCCCGATCAGTCACCACCCCGGCTCCATAATGCACCATATGGCCTTTCACTGTGCAGATTGCAGGAACAAGACATTACTCTTAGCAAAGGAATGTTGTGCTGAGATGCTGCGGAAAAACATGCCCTGCCTTCAAGGCCTGGGTTCCTTCATGGAGATCCTGGTGACACAGGCCAATTACAGGCTCCCCCATGAGCATGTGTGTCTAAAAATAGCACCTGGTAACTTAGTACAGCTCTGGTCTTGCCTCTGGCAGCTCAGGAATCTCGCCAGTAAGACTGTGGCCCCACTCACCAGCATGAGCTCTGCTGATAGGAAACCCCCAGCTGAGCCCTGGCCAGGGCTTGGCTTCAGGCAGGTCTCTGTAAAGGGGAACAGTGGCTTCGCTCATCTCTGGGCACTTTGCCTCCCCGCCTCTGTCCCAAAAGATGGTCACCGTCCTCGGTCACAGACTTCAGACTTCCCCTTGAACCAAGGTTGATGAGTGTGTCATGGTATCTCCAATCTACTTTCTTGAAAAATGAAGTATGTCCCTGTGGCTTCTCAACACAGGCGCACAGATGCACTGTTTGTTATAAATAGCCCACACATGACTGCTTCAGTTTTTTTAATTTGTAGCGGTCATAGTATATGCACTAAGACCATCAACTGTTCTGCGACTTGGCCTCGTTCTCACACACAGAAGCCTAAGAACCTTGATTATTCAGCTCATAGTATCCAAGAGGTTTTGGGTTATATTTTATGAGTAGATGCCACACAGATTTTAAAATAATTAGCTTTATGCTCCACTGCAATCAGAAGTTGTTGTACATACTGAGTAATAATTATATCAATGTTTCTCTCCTTTAAAACTGCCCAGGCTGGTGCGGAGATCTCAACCGTGAACCCAGAACAGTATTCAAAGCGCTTTTTGGACTTTATTGGCCACATCTTGACGTAACCTCTCACACAACCTTGGACAGACACAGGCGTGGGAAGGACAGAGGTGGCTTCGGTGTAAGAAAAATGAAAACCAAACTCAGTGGAGCACACCTCCTCGTTTACATCTTCAGGCCAAGATGACTGATTTGGGGGCTACTTGCTTTAACAGCTACCTGATATTTCCCAGCATCGTTCTAGCTATTTCTGACTTTGTGTGTGTGTGCACGCGTGTGTGTGAATCTTAAAAATTAATTAATTAATGAAAACTGATCAGCTCCAATCAGGGTCTTTGGGCAACAGCCCGCTGATTCCAGCTGTGAATGAATGAATGAATGAATGAATGAATGAATGAATGAATGAATGAATGAATGAATGAATGAATGAATGAATGAATGAATGAATGAATGAATGAATGTGCACCTGCAGGGGTGGGAGAGGGTAGAAGGAAATGCATGCCAGACCAACCATGTTGGCATCATGGGATAAACTGTGGATCGGTTTATCTTTTGGAGTTGAAAGATGTGAGACAGTATTCATAATAATAATGAAGATAATAATAATGAAGATAATAATAATGGTGGTGATTAAAAGAAAAAAAACTCACTGCGAATGTTACACTTCAGCCACGCACGCTGACACTCCTTGATAGTTGTTCCTCCAGCTCCTGGCACTAGAGGGAAGCACTCGGGCATCCCTGTGTGCTCTGGCTCAGGGTCCTGCCTCCATAGCCTGTCAGGACTCAGTGTCCAGGGACAGATCTCCTCCAGCAAGAAGCCTATGCCCTTAGTGACTGTCTCTGTACATTTTCACCTCAGTAAATACGTCCAGGAAAGCCGCTTATTTCTCTTTTCTTGCCTGGAGCTTCTTCACTGTTACACTCTTATGTTGCAAGGTAGGAATTAATGCTACAAAATAAAAATAAAGCTTACCTGAAAAGTGCATAGTTTTGGGCAGTGGTATCTACATCTCCCGTGGTGGGAAGGTGAGCAAAGCATTAGACATCTTAATTCTGTTACCGACAGCAAATCTGAATTATAAGATGTTCATATTTGACCATTGTTTAAGCAGTGGTATTTTGTTAGGAATGATCCCTTTAACTGAAACCCTCAATTTTACTGTTTACATTATTAGGAAAACAGGGATATTTTTGAATCTAAAAATTTAATGTACAGCATGTGATTTTTGAAGTTTACATGTAAAGTCATTTTACAGTGTAGGTGAAATAATGTTTGTCATATTTTGAAATGTATCCTGCAGTTATGTTTTTGAGTGAATGTTTTATTCAAAGTACATTGCAGGCAGTCTTTGACAGTGAAGGAAAAGGATTGTTTTGTTTCCTCCAGATGTTACAGTTATCAACCTAATGATTTTTCTCAATGTTTAACCCAAATCTGGTTATGCAAGTTCATTGCCCTAAACTGTGCTGATTGTGTTTAATCGAGTTATAAATTTCCCACATCAATCATGTATTTACCAACTCTCCAGCATTTTCTGAAAGGCGTCAGGCTAAGATATTAGACTAGCTTAGAGTAGGTTACAACTTATACACTGTGCTAAAGCTGTGCCTTTAAAATTCTTAGTTTAAAATGGGATGGTTTTTGTAGGCAGTTTCAGAAAAGAAAAAAAAACCCACTCTTTCATAATTACTTCCAACTCAATAAATATCCCCTGCTCTCTGCCTCTTCCAGTACCTTTACTTCAGGGCTTCAAGATTGCAGCTGTGCCCACTACACTAGGTGTATGTGGGTCTAACTCCAAAATCTTGAGGCAACGGCCAGTCCGTGCCTCTGGAAGCGAGAAACGGCACCACCCACTTCTGTACCCCCATCCACCTGGATTTGTTCTCCCCCACCAGTGCTCCTATCACATCGTTGTGATGTGCTTGTCTGAATCTGTATTTTATGCATTAAATGAGTTGAGACTGTGATTTCCCTGCATACACACATGTGGACCGTTCATTCTGACACGTCACTTTAAGTGTTCTGAAATTACTCTGTGGTTTCCTTACCCCAAACTACAAAAGTCCTATAAAAGATTCTGAAGTAAAGATAATGTATGTACACATACATTATTTGAGTAACCATTTCCTCTGTGGCCAATCTATGTATGCTTTTAGAAGTTTACAAAATGCTTTATTTTTGTCTATGAGTCTTGCATTCTTTTCTGTGGATAAACTGTTGGGACAGAGTGAGGAAGTTTGCCTTGTATCACCTAGTGCTAACAAGACACTCCAGTCATGAGCCAGGCTTTACAAAATAAAGCACTTTGATGACTCACTAGTGGAGCCTTTGTTGTTCTCTCTGCTGTGTTTCTCTCTGTTGGGAACAAATTTTAAACATTTAGTAGGAAAAGTACCTGTAGCGGATCTCTTTTACTCAACAATACGGACTTCAAGTCAAAACCTACTATCTATTTTATCAGTTTTGAATAGCCAGTGGCTTGGCCTTCATCAAAACAGACTTGGGGTGGCCTGTGTAAGACTGACAGTGGTTTGGAAAACAGACACCATCATGTCTCCACCCCACTCCACCAACTGGCCAACACAATGCAGACAAAAACCACAGCTGCCTGCTTCTCCCCGAGAAAGGAAGGAGTTGGGAGAGGCCCGCAGAGTCTCTGCCAGGGCTGAGTGATGTGGACATTTATATAAGGCCAGCCCATGAAGATTGGGAGAAGTTCCTGTTTTATCTAATACACAGAGTTGAGGAAAAGAAAGATGTTCCAAAGGAAGAACAAGCCTTGTATCTAGAATTCATAAAGAACTTTTGTCAACAAGGGACAAGTTTTAAAATGAGGAAAGAATTTCTGTTTCTGCAAAAAATATAATACAAAGTCAACAATTGCTTGGGAAGATGCTTAACAGTATTAGTTATTAGTGAAACACAAGTCAAAACCACAAATCACACCCACTGGGGTCAATGTAATCAAAAACAGACAATACTAAGTGCTGAATAATCAAAAACAGACAATACTAAGTGCTGACAAAGATAGAGGAAAATTGTAACCCTGGTGGAAAAGTCAGTACAACTACTTGGGAAAACAATCTGGCAGTTCCTCAAATCATTAAAAGTAAGTTACCATCTGACTCAAGAATTCCAATCCCAGGTATATGCCCAAGAGAAGGGCTGTGTTCCTTTTGGAAACCTCAGGAAAAATCATCCTCAGGCCTTTTTCAGCATCTAGAATCTGCATGCAGTTGGGCCTGTGGCCCCTCCTACTACCGTCCAACCAGCAGAGAAGCATTACAAGTCTCCCTCCTGCTCCTGTTCCCACATCTTCCTTGATTGCATTGGCTAGTGGTCTGTATTATACATTTTTCTCCCTCAAAGAAGCAGAATTCTGATTCATGGATTTGATTTTTTCTTTTTCAATGTCAATCTTCACTCTTATCTTTATTGGGGTTTTTTCCCTGGATTTTTTCTGTTGAAAATCTAATTCATTTATTTTCATTTCTTAATTTACTTAGGTAGCTAGGACTGAGAGTTTTCTCCTGATGATTGCTTCATATATATTCATTGATATTGTGTCTTTTGATTCAGTCTTTTCAAAAATTCTATAGTTTTTGTTTGTTTGTTTGTTTTTAACCCAAGAGTTGTTTAATAGAAATTTCTTCAACTTCCAGGTGGAAATGCCTTTTGTTTAGGTTTTCAGTTTCTGGATTTATTGTACTATACTAAAAAGCTGATATACTATCACTTTTCAGGAATGTTGATGTGTACTCAAAAAAAACTATTATCTGAGTTGTGTTGATATTTAGTCAAAGGATCTACTTTATCATGTTCTAGATCTTTTATATCTTTAATTTTTTGTCCACCTGACCTATCCTGACCCAAACTACTTTGTACTGAGAATCATGCCGTTCTCATCATTTTTGATGTTAATTCTATTTCTCCTTGAATTTCCTGTAGTTTGTTTTGTATAGTGCTTGCTATGCTATTTGTCTCATAGATATTTATAATAGTTATGTATTCATTTTGAAATGTGGCTATTCATATTATAAAGTTATTTTCTGTCTTTTTTAATGCTTTTCTGCTACTAGAATTTTATAGGATACCAGGACCCCAATCTCTTATTAGTTCCATTTACATGGTAAATCTCCAGCCCTTTATATTCTATGAAATCACTGTATTTAGGTGAGATTCTTCTATACAGCATAGAGTTGTATCTTCCTTAAAGCCAATTTGAACTGGCAAGTTAAAGCCCCTACAGCTTGTATTTATTTTTGTGACCAAAAAGTTTGGTCTTAATCCTCTCATATCTCATGTTACATTTTCTCAATGTGTATCATATTTACTATGTCTCTTTCTCTATTTAGTGTGTTCTTTGAGTATTTTTGAATTTTGCATTTTTAATCTCTTGATTGCCTTGGTATCAATAACTTATAATGCTCTAACCTCTCCTTTTATTACTTAATCTCTTTCTAACTAGAAATATATATAATTATATGTATATAACAATGTGTAATTGTGTTTTACTTTCCTCTCTTTTCATCCCATTTTGAGTTGCATCATTTCTACTTGTTCAGAATATATAACATTTATCTATTATTCTGACATACACCCTCACCCTTATTTTAACATTAGCTCTGCAAAGCATAGGAAAGTCCTGACATCAGTCTTTTTGCCAGTTTCCCCAATCATCTCTTATTTTATGAAACCTATTCCCTAGATTTTCAGGGAATAAACCTGATAGTAAATATGTTAGACTCTGTGAGTATCTGTCAAAAATATTCAGTCTGACATTATAGTGTGAAAACAGCCATAAACAATACATAAATGAATGTGACTATGATCCAATTGAATTTTATTTACAGAAACGAGCTGCAGGTTAGATTGGCTCATGGCTGTGGTTTGCTGCTTCCTGCTGTGATGGTTAATTTTATGTGTCAATTTCACTGGATGATAGGGCATCTTGATATTTGGATAAACATCATTTCTAGTTGTTTCTAGTATGATTCCAAAAGACAGAAAATAAAAGGCTGGAAGATCATAAGGTAAATGGAAATAATAAGAGATTGGGGTTCTGATGTAAAGAATTCAAGTAACAATATACGTAGAAGTAGTGTTTGCTATTCTGAGCTACAAATTTGGAGGTAATTTATGGTGTTTTAAGAATAAAACTAGACATTCGAATGAACACAGGTAAGCATAAGAATCATCCAGTCGCTTAAAGGCCTCATTAGAACAAGTAGGAAGAAGAAGGACTAAAGCAGCCCTGACTGACTGATTTCTTGAGTGAGACGTGGCCTTCTGCCCTGGAAACTCTTAGCTTTCAGGCCTTCAGATTCCTCCTGAATTATGCCACTGGCTCTCCTGTGCTTCCCACTTGCTGATCGTCGGACTTCTCAGCCTCCATAATTGTGTAAGCCACTTCCTATTATCTCTTCCTGCCTATCTTACTGGTTCTGCTTCTCTGAAGATCCCCACTACACCTTGGGCAAAGCACCCCTGCAGAGAAGCTTGCATGCTCAGAACTGTTTAGATAGCCTTGGTATTTGAAAGCTGTCTTGGCTGAATATCACTTTTCTTGTTCGTACTCTCCTTCATTTTCTTGAATACTATTGTACTGCTGCACTGAGAATTATCTCACTCGTTTGCCTGCAGTCCCTGAAGTTTTCTTCATTATAAATCTACGCTTGCCAGGCAGACCCCAGTGATCCCCTCCTTCTGGTACATAAGCCTCTGTTCAATCCCCTCCCCTCAAGTGTAGGCTGAAACCGTGACTCATCTCTAACAAGGAGAACATAGCCTAAACAACGAGATGTCACTTCCAGGATTAGGGTACAAACAGCTCTGTCTTCCCTCTCCCTCTCTCACTGGCTCACGTGCTCGATGGAATCCAGCTGTCATGTTATGAGTTGATCTGTGTCGAGGCCAACTTGGCCAGGAACCGATTATCACCAACAGCCAGCGAGGACGTAGGCCTGCCAGAAGCTGTGAGGTCTCCCTCAGTGGAGTCTGCAGGTGAGTTCTGGGGCTGACAACTTAATTGTAACTTGATGAGAGACCTGTAGGCAGGCAAGCCCAGCTGAGCTGCTCCTGGATTCCTCTCCACAGAAACCCTGAGGCAGTAACTGTTCACTATTTTAAGCTGCTAAATTGGGGGTGACTTGTTATACCACAATAGTTAACATATACACTAGGCTCTCTCAAAGCTGATCATCCCAGGTTCATTTTGAGGGTGCCAGTTTTTCCCTTTCCTAAAAGCCATAGTGAAATACTCATAAAATTTACCATCTGGGCCCTCCCTGGTGGCGCAGCGGGTTAAAGCACAGCACTGAGAATCTAAAGCCGCTTCCGCATGAGTTCGATTCCCGCCTGCCCCGGAGGTGACCACATGGCATGGCAGACCTCTCCTGACCCGCCCGCTGCTCCCCTCAGCAGTGTACTTCGTCGATCTGCCTGTTCTGCTCCCCACTCTATCTCTGGTGAATCCTCTCACCCTCCGCATCTCTGGCCTGTACCCCAGTTCTGTATGAATAAATAAATCTTTAAAAAAAAAATTTACCATCTGACCCATTTTTAGTGTACAGTTTAGGAGCACACTGTACTAGGTACATTCACACTGACGGTCTTTAATTTTTTTCATGTGTTTTGGGTTTGGTTTTCTGTGTGCTCTTTGCTATCATGGGAAAACGTGGATGTGGGGTTTACATATAAAAAGGCGTGTGTCCATCTCTTAAGGACAGAAGACTGCCAGGAGGAACCGGTATTCTCTAATTTGAGATCCAAAGGAACATGTACCGAAGTTAAGGGGAGAAGTAAGAAGGGGCCATTTGCTAAAAAATAGAAACAGTAACTAGAGAGGGTTGAGACAACATAGCACTTTCCATTGGCTTCATGTGGTCAAAGTGTAGACTTAGAGGCCAGGAGAAGACACGGTGCTGAACAAGGTGAGCCACTCACCCCGGGCACCTGTATCTGAGATGATGACATTAGAACTCTGACATGTCAGTCCCTCTTCAGGATTTTACCCCACGTAAGTACTCAAAGCATATGAAATAATGTCTGCAGATTCACTGAAGCACTATGTTAGCAAAAATGGAAAACAAATGTCTGATAGAAGAGGAAGGTTAAATAAATGAAAGTTCTCCCAGAAAAAGAATACTACTCATCACTTTGAAAGAATGAGAATATTCAAAATTTCTGATTTTCAAGATTTCTCCAAGAAAAACTGAAAAATGAGAAAACAAAATGTGACATACAGTAGTCTGAAAGGGATAATTTCCATTTGTGCTTTAAATATAGTCCATACCTGTAGCTCCCTATATATAGAGGTGATGGTCGCACTAAGATAGATTGACAGATGTGCTTGAGGACACACAGAATAATCCTCTGGGAAAATACCAAAAACTAGATTTAGTGACTGCCCCTGCAAGAGCTATAAGACTTAGTTAGAGATGGGAGCAGGACTTCCTCTACCTTGTATATTCTCTTGAACCTTATACAAATAAAAAGGACAATCTAGATCATAACACTTTAAAGAAGTGACGGTGTTGAAACTGAGGGAGAAGATTTTGACTTTCAGGATTTTCATTGTGCTCACTTGGGTATCCACCATCTCTCTTTAAAACAGCATCAGAGGGAGGCTCAGCTAAGTAGGGAGATGAAGTTACTGGGTGGCCTTTTACCTACATCACTGTAGTCCCCTCCAAGAGGTGATACAAGTAGTTCCAGGCTGATTAAACGTTTGGTTCTTCGAGCCTTCTCTGGTGTGGGGGAAATGGTCAGGCAGCCTTCGAACACACAACTAACAAAGGTATGGAAATGCCCACTCAGTTGTAAAGGACATGCTTCCTCCGCCTGAGGGATGCGTGATATTGCTAGATATTGCTGCCTGAGCATGACAAACAGGGTAATGGTGGCGGCTTTTAAAGTTGTCGTGTTTACAGAGAAAGTTGTACGTTCACAGTGAGTTAAATTCTCACTTCCACATTCGTAACACCTCAGAGCAGATGTCTTAAGTCAGGTAATACCCAGGTGTTTATTGACTGGGTCTTCTGGTGGCGGAATTGAATCACAAGGGTCAGTGGTGGTACCAGATTTAGATTCTCTGCCTCATTATTCTCTCAGCGAATGGCAATTCGGCATTTATAACCTTACTTGTGAAAAATAGGATGTTGAAGCTTTTCCCCCCATCCTCTTCTTTCTCATTTTTATTTCCTCACTTATTTTCATTTATTTGCTATTCCCCAAACAGAATTCTCACAGGGGCAAAAACAATTGAAATGTGTGAATCAGATGTCAACAGCAGCCCTGATGTTTGTGCAGGAAGCAGTTGTAAGGAGCAAATGAAAAAAAAAAAAAAAAGGACTATGTGGGAGGTTGTGGGGGATGGGG